TCTCTCTCTGTCTCTCACTCACTTTCTCTTTATCTCTCTCTCTCTCTCTTTTTCTCTCCCTCTCCAAACCGTCAGCCTGGAGTTTCTACTCTCCCCTCCGGCCCCTCCCCCACCCCCACCCATCCCTCCACAGTTTCAGCACCACCACACGTCGCTGCACAGTACGGATGGCGGAGTGTGACGTCATAGGTACCACCTCACCCAGGAATACGTCACGTGAGTGGACAGTAGGGGGATGGACACTGACAAGTTTGGTTATATTTATATATTGTAGGATACACGACACTAAAATTTTAAAAAAAATTTTTGTTTTGTTTTTGGTAAGGGTTTTACGGCTCTCGCAACTGCATTAGATCATATGAATGCGCAGGACACATCAGTTGATAGGACATTTTTAATTTTTCTCGGGTAGCTGCCGAGGCCTACTCTTATCGATTTTAGACCACAAATGGATTTTTTACGTGAGCAGCTTGCACACAGGACCTCCGAGATTTTTCGCCCTTGTCCGATAAGGCTAGGCGTAGATCTTTCCGACAAGAAGATCGGGGGTGTGGCTGAAAGACAGCAGTAACAAGGAGCCAAGGAGTAGCAGTAGAAAGGCTGCAGAAAGAGTCAGGAAGAAAGAAAAAACGAGGTGTGGGGTGGGCAGAAAGTGGAGATGAAAGCGACGAACGAACATTGCTAGAGAGCACGAAAGGGGGTGAGAGGAGACAATTTTAGAGAAGAAATATTTTTCGCCTGCAACCCGGATTCGAACTTTGAATGAGAGGCGAACACCTTAACCTATAGGCCACGAGAGCCCCCGTTAAAATGTTTATTTTATATCATTCTATTATAGGCTGCACAACACTAAAATGCTCGCTAATATTTATATATTGTAAACTACACGACACTCAAATGTTTGTTTATATCTATATTACAGGACACTAAACTGTTTGTTTATGTCTACATCTTGTAGGCTACACGACACTAAAATGTTTGTGTATATCTATAGGGAACAGGACACTGAAATGTTTGTTTATAATGTATATATTATATATATATAATGTATAATATATATATAATATATATACATGTATATATACATGTAAATATATTATATATATATAATGTATAATATATTATATAATATATATACATGTATATATATATATATATATATATATATATATAGAGAGAGAGAGAGAGAGAGAGAGTAGGCTACATGAAACTAAAATGTTTTTTTAAAAATACCTATATATTGTAGGCTACACGACACTGAAATGTTTGTTTGTATCTATCTATTGTGTTCTAATCTGTCGCTGGCCAGATGTTTTTCACATTTCATTTCCAATTTTTGGATTACCCGTTACAACTTTGTTTTCTTCCTAACCAACCGGCAACCACCCACCTACCCACTCACTAACCATCCACCCATCACCCACCCACTCACCATCCACCCACCACCTACCCGCCACCATACATTCACCACCCACCCACCCTCTCACCATCCACCCACCACCCACTCACCATCCATCCACCCACCACCTACCCACCACCATACACTCACCACCCACCCACCCTCTCACCATCCACCCACCACCCACTCAACATCCACTCACCACCTACCCACCCACTCACCATACACCCATCACCCACCTTCTCACCATACACCCACCACCCACTCACCACACATCCACCACCCACCCTCTCACCATCCACCCACCATCCACTCACCATCCACCCACCCACTCACCCACTCACCATCCATTCACCACCCACCCTTTCACCATTCATCCACCAACCAGCCACCCACCACCCACCTACATTTTACAACCCCCTACCCCCAACCCCCTCCCCCTCCTGTTTAGAAGACAACGGACAAATTTGTCAGGAAGTGGCCATCCACAACGGACGTCACAATGTCAAGGTCACGCTGGACCACGGCCAGTACGCATGCGCAGCTCTAGGTCCTAACGAGAGCAGCTTCCACCTGGGGGTCACGTTTGTCCGCTGTCTGGACGGAGAGGTACAGGAGACTGTCTGCAAGATGAGACACAGGTGAGACACATACAGGTGACACACAGACAGGTGAGACACATACAGGTGACACATATACAAGTGAGACAAAAAACAACAACAGGTAAGACACATACAGACACATACAGGTGAGACACATGGAGTTGACATATATGCAGGTGAGACACATATACAGGTGAGATATATACAATATACAGGTGAGACAAACACCCCCCCCCCCAACAAAAACAGGTAAGACATATACAGACACATGTAGGTGAGACACATGGAGTTGAGACAGATACAGGTGAGACAAACACAAGTGAGACAGATACAGGTGAGACAGACACAAGTGAGACAGAAACAGGTGAAACACAGACAGGCGAAACATAGTACAGGTGAGAAATACACAGGTGAGGCCTATACAGTTGAGACACAGATACAGGTGAGACATATACAGGCCAAACACATACAGACATATACAGGTGAGATATACAGGTGAGATAGATACAGGTGAGACATACATGTGAGACAGATACAGACAGATACATACATGTGAGACAGATACAGACAGATACAGACTCAGACAGATATAGGTAAAACATACACTGTAAGACATCTATCTCTACCCCCCCCTACCCAGGTGGGATGTGAACAAGCAGGCGTGTACCCCCGGGCTTGCAAACTGTCATGGACCTGGAACTGTGCCTTTTGGGGGACCGCGACCTTGGCCCAAATCTGGCCACAGGAGGTCACTGGGTGAGTGGTAGCTGGGGGGAGAAGGGGAGGGGAGAGTGAGTGAGAGAGAGTGAGAGAGAGAGAGTGAGTGAGAGAGAGTGAGAGAGAGAGAGGGGGGGGGAGGTGAGAGGGAGGACCACAATACGCCGATGGCACAGGAAGTTGTCACACTAACAAGGCAATCCCCAATGTCCGGATCGGATGCGAGAACAACTTTATTTATACAGCAGGAGGATAAGGATGGCTCTTTCCTTATCATCACGTCAGTGGGTGCTCTGTGAGGTTTGCTCCACCCTTTACCTACCATACTACCTGTGACGTCTCATTGTTTGTAGTTTTGATAAACATATATCGTTCAGCACAACAACTGTACAAAAAAATCAGCGACCGACCATGCTGGAAGCTTATAAAACCACTGTTTCTAAACTTTTATAGTTTATACTGAAAAGTACAAAATTGATAGATTAACTACATACTTACTTTCTTATTTGGTTGGAGAATAGACATCATTGCAGGCGGCACAATGCCATAGCTGCTCCTCCCTCCTCTCCAGGATCCATGAAAGGGTCTGCCTGCTGATCGTGCCAGTCAACAGCTGGTTGAAGGGATTCAAACACGGAAACATAGCTACGGCAATTAACAATAGTGAACTAAACACAGTTATTGCTCATTTAGCAAATACATTTATTACAGAGATATATGGTCGCTTTTAAGGACAAGCGGGCTAACCCAGATTTCGAAAGTTTCTAGACATCTTGACCTACACCAAGAGTGGATATTGTCCTACCTATAGGAGACGTTTGGTTTCATTAGTGTGTATGTGTGTTTTGATTTTAGAGAAAACTCTCCTTGTCTTTTACAGAGACTGAATAAGGATCCAAAAACTTTAACTTCAATTTTCTCAAAACAGCATTTTTCGGGATAGACCCCTTGTGCTTAAAAGCGACCATAGTGTTATTACATTGCATACTCATAACCATCCCTCCCCCTGCCCCTCCCTCCCCCTGATCCTCTCCCCTGCCCTTCTCCCCTGCCCCTACCCTGTCTTCCCCCCGCCCCTCCCCTCCGCCGCCCAGTGCGCCACGGACAGAAGTGCACCAAGGTGGCCATCCATAACGGACTTCACAACGCCAGGGTCTTGCTGGACGACGGCCAGTACGCATGCGCAGCTCTGCGCCGGAGAGACAGCGGCTACAACCTGGGCAGGATATTTCTCCATTGTCTCAACGGTGAAATCATAGACTTTTCCTGCCGCCGAAGATACAGGTGAGACGCAGACAGGTGAGACATATACAGGTGAGACAGAGACAGGTGAGACATGTACTGGTGAGACATGTACAGGTGAGAGACAGACAGGTGAGACAGAGACAGGTGAGACATATACAGGTGAGACAGAGACAGGTGAGATAGATACAGAATCAGGTGAGGCATATACAGGTGAGAGACAGACAGACACTTGAGATAGATACAGATACAAGTGAGACAGATGCAGGTGAGACAGATATAGGTATCAGTTTAAAGCTTGTCCATTGTCTTACTTTCAGTGAGAAAAAATACTAATCTTAAATGAATAGAAGTCGACATATTTGCAATTGAAGGAGGTAGAGGTCACCTTGTTCCAGAGGTAAAATTAGCGAGATAATGGCCGCCAAAGATTGGCGACTTCCAGAATTTGAGAGACTTTAAAAAATGCAAGTTTACATTTATATTTTTCAGTTAAATCCACATATAAATTACTTTTTAATTGGACCTTAAAGATTTTGCGTCAGAAAAAAAAAATCGAAACAATGGCCAAACGGACAAAAAAATGACAGTTTATTTCATTTCATATTTCACCACAATGTCTCACATATATATGTGTCTACCACTAGGTGGGACATGAGCAGGCTGGCATGTGTCCCTGGTCCCGCCAACTGTTTTGCACCTGTGGGTGGACCTGGGGGTCCGCCACAACCCTTCCCCGTACCTGGACCTCTGCCTAGTTCTGACACCCCCATACCTGGACCTCTGCCCAGTTCGGATACCTCCATACCTGGACCTCTGCCCAGTTCAGACAACCCTATACCCGACCCATTGCCTAGTTCGGACAACCCTATACCCGACCCATTGCCTAGTTCGGACAACCCTATACCCGACCCATTGCCTAGTTCGGACAACCCTATATCTGGACCTCTGCCCAGTTCGGACAACCCCAAACCTCAACCACCTTCCCGCCCGACTATTCCGGTCCCCGGTGAGTATAATCTGGACCCCCGAGCTCCAGTCTCAGTCTGTTGTGTCCATCAGTGAACTGGTCGCTTTTAAGCACACGGGGGTTATCCCGAAAAATGCTGTTTTTGCCCCTTGTTCAGTTTCTTTAAAAGACAAGGAAGAGTTTTTTCTATCACCAAACAAATATACACACCAATAAAATGAAACTTTTCCTATAGGTAGTGCAAAGCCCACTTTTGGTGTAGGCCATGATATCTGGAAACTCCCGAAATCTGGGTTAGCCCGCTTGTCCTTAAAAGCGACCAATACACTTATTTACTTGGTTACTTACTTACTTACTTGGTTGGAGAATAGCCATCATTGTAGGAGGCACAATGCCATAGCTGTTCCTCCATCCTCTCCAGGATTCACAAAGGCGTGTGCTTGCTGATCGTGCCAGTTAACAGCTGGTTGGATATTTTTCTGGCTTTTCCACGCAGGTTGCTGTCTCTCCCTGACCCTCTAGAGACACCAGCTTCCCTTAGTCTATCCATTGTGTGTGAAGTGGTGCCTTCATCCTCTCTGTGGTCGTTGAACCATGCTGTTAATGCTGCCATGACTGTTGGTGGATTTAATTGCATGGTACCGCCAATCTCAGCCTGGCAGGCTCGCTTATCGGCACGTTCATTGCCTTAAACTCCTGCACGGCAGGGCTAAAGATCCATAAAATCCTTGTGTGTCTGCTCCTTTGTATTGCCTCTCACCAGTCTGCACACATCATGACAATGTGCTTCTTCACTTTTTCGAGTACCCCCGGGGCGGTGCTACTGACTGAAGTAGTCTTTAGGCCGGTCCCAAAGGGGGGACATGAACATGTTTTTATGTATAGTAGAATTGTAAAAGGGCTGATTTATCAATGTCATGCTTACAACAACTGTGCCCGAACTGCAACAGGGAACTGCAGCTTTTTCTTTCCTAATCCTTACTATCGTCATTTTCCCTCTACTTCTTTTGTATGTTTATCACACTCTTGTGACCCGCTATTTCCGGGGTGCCTTGATAGTCGAAACAGACTTTGTGCTGTTGAAGCTAGAGAGGTGAACAGAGTAAGTCAGATTTGCTGTAAGGACGTGTCTGTTGAAATCCACCCCTTGGCGCTCATATGACCTTACGCAGTTGCGAGGGCAGTAAAATCTCTACTAAAACTAAAAAACGTATTCGAGAGTACGCATCGAGCCGGTGACGTGAACACGATGTATCAGAGACCACTGACGTCACGTGATTGGGAAACATCTATAACCGGCCGCGCGGGAAAAGAACAGATGTAGTCACAATAAACATTATAAAGAATGCCAGTGGTCCTCAGTATATTTTTCCTCTTAATTCTGCCACGTTTCCTTACAGATGATCTCACCTTTCGAACACCTCAGCTTTGTAACACCTCACCCTCTAACACCTCACCTTTCTAACACCTCAACTCTCTAACACCTCAACTCTCTAACACCTCTCTAACACCCCAACTCTCTAACATCTCAACTCTCTAACACCTCACCCTCTAGTACCTCACCTCTCTAATATCTCAACTCTCTAACACCTCACCTCTCTAACTTCTCAACTCTCAAATACCTCACCTCTCTAACACCTAAAACCAATTCTTCATTTCTTAGATCTCAGACGACATCACGATCATCCCACAAGAATAATCTTTGGCAAACTGAGGAAGATATACGAGCTCCTGAAAGAGAGGCGCCATCGACGAAGGAACAGATGGCCACACAGAGGAGACCAGAGGTTCCCAATACTTGGAGGACACCCACTAGGACCTCACAGACTTCGGCTGCTAGGACATCACCGGCTCCCACTAGGACCTCACAGAGGGCCGCTAGGACATCATAGAGGACAGATAGGACATCATAGAGGGCCGATAGGACCTCATAGACGTCCAGTAGGACATCCCAGACAGTCCCACAGAGGACATCACCGAAGGACACACGGGAGACCACCTCAGAGGTTCCCACGATTCCCTGTCCTGTCCCGAGCTCGTGGCGTCTCAAAAAGACACAGAGATAGACGCCAGAGACACGGCCCACACACGCCACGCCACTCCACGCCACACGGTACACACACGCCACGCCATTCTACGCCACGCGTCACCCATACGCCACGCCACTCTACACCACGTGACCCACACACACCACGCCACTCCACGCCACTCAGCACACACACGCCACTCCACCCCACGCCAAATGGCACACATACGCCACGTCATTCTACGCCACGCGGCACACACACGCCACGCCACTCCACGCAACGCGGCCCAGACACTCCTCTACCACAAAGCCCACGTTTGATCAGTGAAGGATATTCCAACCAGCGACGGCAACCACTCACTAACTGAGGTACTGCACTCATACCCCGACATACTGCATGGACTGGAACCGTGGATCGCTCAGGTCTGCTCACGTCTGCACACGCCTGACATGAGACACGCCTGCTTTGCTCACTCCTGACAGCTGACAGGGGACACACCAGCTGTTAGTGGACACACTGGCCGTGGATGGACACACCTGAGAGTGGACAATCTGGCGTGTAGTATGTTGTAGTGGAATCTCCAGACGGTGTCGGTCAGAAATAAAACATCTCAAGAGGCCGTCACGGTGTTTGTCTATGTGCTAGGGATGTTCTGGTTCTAGGCTTGTACTAGGCACATTTTGGGTTTTTTCTGGGCTTGTTCTAGGCTTGTTTTTTGTTCGTTCTAGACTTGTTCTGGGCTTGTTCTAGGCTTGTTCTGGGATCGTTCTGGGCTTGTTTCAGGCTTGTTCTCGCGTTACTTTTACTTTTACTTTCTCCGGCCTCTGTTACCTTACGGTTTGGAGGGGAGAAGCAAACGTCTTTGTCTTGTTTGTTGTATCGTCTTTTGTATTGTTATATTATTTGTTGTATGGTTCTGTTGTTTGTTGTATCGTTGTATTGTTATATTATTTGTTGTATGGTTGTGTTGTTTGTTGTATCACCTGCTGTATGGTTAGGTTGTTTTTGTCTGATATTCCTTTCATCCCTTCTATCCATCCCATCTTTACCTGGGCCTGCATCTTCCTCTGTGTCCGTCTAGTCTATGGTTGTATGCTCCCGCTGCTTTACTGTCGGGTGGTACTCTTTACAGACGTCCAAATCATTCCATGCGTTGTTTTTCTATGTACTCCATACAGGGAGTCGAGACTTTTTGTACTCTGACTATGTCGTTTCTTACCCTGTCTCTTCTTGAGATGCTCAAAGTTTTGCCAAGGCATCTCATTGCTCAGGCGTTGATTTTTGCTTGGTGTCTGGCCCACTGAAGTCCCACTTAAGGAGAGTGACGATCGGTGGACAAACTAACAAACAGAGTAGACGGGCAAAGTTTTAGAGAAATGTGAATATTTTTTACGCCTCCACCC